CCACCCCAGGGCCACTGAGAGCTGTCCCCTGTCCCCTGCTCTGCACTTGCAAACTAACCACAAGGACCTGAGCAAAGTTTAATTTTTTCTAGTTTAATTTTTTTTCCCTAGTTTTAATTTTTTTAGTTTAATTTTTTCTAGTTTAATTTTTTCTAGGAACAAGTTTCCAAAAATGAGCTTACAGAAAAGACTAGATACTTCAGAAAAATAGAACTAAAAAAAACACATTGTAGTAAGACCCACAAAAAGTAATTTTATATAATTAGCTTTAAAGTATTTACAATATAGTATAGCAAAAACTGGTAAGCCAAGAAACGCTTATAATGTATTGTAATTAAGAAATAGTTAGCTTCTGATAGTAATAGCATAAATTAAAATGCTATATTAAGTTATATATTATATATAATATAATCTATATAATTTATATATTATTTATTTATATAAATAAGATATATTTTACATATTATATACTAAATATAATAACATATTATTATTAATATACTATAGTATACTATAGTATAAGATACTATACTATACTTAACTTTAATATAATATAATATAATATAATATAATATAATATAATATAATATAATATAATATAATATAAATTAGATATTATTTATTTTTATATAATTCATATATATTTATATTAAATATAAATTATCTACATCATCTCATCCTTCATATGAGACTAAAAACAGAATAAAAGTTTTCAAAATGCCAGTAAGATACCCCATCTCTAAGTCAAAAAACACCCCTAATCCAACAGAACAATCAAACCACAGAAGATACAAGTTCACACCAACATCAACACCTTACAAGATTTACAACAGCTTTTAAGAGAAATCAATTAAATCAGATCTATTATAAAAATTACAAATAATGAACTTACTCCACTTCTAACCTGATTTAGAGGGGACTGTAACATCAAATCTCCTAAAACTTTAACATTTAAAGCTCAAAGAAACCTTTACACCCTTCTGGCTGTGGAGGTTCCCTGGGGTCAGGTGGCAGAGCTGACTCCAGCCAGCCCATGCCACCTCTCCTTGGTGCCACCTTGGTGACACCTGAGCTAATCCCACTGTCCTTGTCTGTGTTGGGGTTTTTCACAAACAGGATGGGACTGCTGGGATAAAATAAATAAATAAAACTGCCTGGAGTTTTATTGTGGCATAAGATAAGATGGTGAAGGGTTTATCATGAAACTTCCACAGACACAGGAGGGTTTGATCTGCAGCCTTGGAAGAAACTTGGATTGATGTAAAAATACAATACACAGACATTAAGCAGAAAAATAATTAATTTATGTTCCTATAGTTGTAAGTAAGAACTAGCTTTAAGTGAGAAACTATTGATAAGATAGTGAAGGGTTTATAATGTAGGAAACTGTATTGATAAAATAGTGAAGGGTTNAGGTTTGGGATGCGGGCACAGCGGAGCTCGGCTCAGCCTTCCCCCACACTGGCTGGCAGAGCACAGGAATTTTCTCTCTCCTTTAATATTTCATACTTTAAATTCCCTGATCTTTCTGTCTGCTCTCCCCAGGGCAGAGGGAGAAGCCAGGGAAGACCTTGGAGAGCTGCTCCAGCCAAGGGCTGAGGTCTGGGGCTCACCCCAGCAGATCCAGCTGGGAACAATACAGCAACTTAATATAAAAGTGTATTCTTCTTAATATAAAAATATCTTCTTCCACCCAAGGCCATCAAATCACTTCCAAATAATGAATGGATCCAAAAGGATAAGCATAGGGAGGTAATTGGGGGTTCAATTGTAGCCAGAATCCTCACAGGGGGCAGCTCCCACAAATCCTGGTGGCTGTGACAGCTTCATATCCCTTCCCTCAAGGCTTTTGAAAAAGCCTGGCTAAAAAGCAGTCACAAAGTGAGGGAAAATGGATATTGAAAAGTGGGAAAAGCTGGGAAAAAGCCATGACTAGGAGAGAAAAAATGCTATAATCCCTGTGAGTGTGCAGCAGGAGGGATGTGCAGCCCCAGGAGCTGTCTGCTGCTCTCTGCCCCAGTTCCCAGCAGAACTAAAATGAAAATAATAATGGATTTGTCAGAGCCATGCACACCAACTCCTCCAGCTTTCTAAGGATTTGAAATGTTTCTTGGGAATTACTTTTTTTCTAGTGGAACGGGGAATGTCCCAGCCCTGATTTTCCATTGTCCCAGTTGCAAGGGCTCTTTGTCTGAGCAGTGCGTTCACTTTGTACTGGGGAAAATAGGTGTAGGAGGAGCAGGGAGTGAAGCAATCAAGGCAAAATTCATGGTCAGGGAAAATCCTGCCCTCTCCTCCCAGCTGAGGGTAAAAAAACAAAGTTTCATCATAGCCAGTTTTTCCCAAGTTCCTCTGAAAGCAAAAATCTGGGGGGGGGAAAAAAAATCCCTTTTCTCAGACCAGCCAGGAGATCCCAGGAGACCTGAGGACAAGGTGTTCATTTAAGGACATGGCATTCCATGACATTCTGTTCCTCCTGAAGAAGAAGGAGGAAATTTCCAATCCATGGAAAACTTGCTGCCTTTCAGGAGCAGCTTGCCCTGACTGAGGTTATCCAGGAAATGTTAAGCAGGTTCAGTTTCAGTGACAGAAACTGGGATGGGCAGCAGAGCCTGAGCTGCCACACCAGCTTGAGGTCACCTTGCTGTGCCTCAGGGGTGGCACCAAGGAGGACTTTGCTAGAGTAGGGATTTCCCATTCCATATTCCATATTCCACATTCTACATTCCCCATTTTATATTCCACACTCCACTTTTCACATTCCACTTTCCNGACCACGAGCCCCAGGCTCCGTCCACGCCCTCCGGCCGCGTCCCGAAGGGCACACACTCCCTCTTGTAGCACCACTGCGGGGACACAGAGCTTGGGACACCTCAGCAATGGGACCCGATCGGAATTCAGTGCATCCCTCCAGGTGTCCAGAGTTGCTGAGCACCGCGCCAGGCACGCAGCCCAAAACACCCGCAGATTTGATTTTGACCCCTGGAGCAAGTTACCACCTTTGTATGAGGACCTAAAAGTCACAGAAGTTTAAATAGTATAATAATAAAATTATTACAGGGTGAAAATGTAGATTTTAGGCTTTTTAGAATGGGAGTTATGGGGACAAGATGGAGGAACTTGGGCGTGTCCAGTCCTTCTTCTTCTTCTTCTTGGTCTCCATTTTCTGCAGTGATATTGGCACTTTGGGATTGGTTTAGAGTAGAAGTGCACTGTCTAACACAGGTGATGGGTATTGGGAATTAAGGGTAAATATATTATATGTAGTTTGTAGTATAAAAAGACAACACAGAGAGTGCCTGTGGCTGCCCTACTGAGCAGACCTCGGCTGGGCAGAAAAAAAATTTTATAGATAAGAATTAATAAACAACTTCAAGACCAAAAACTGAAGAGTCCAAACTCATTCTTCAGACATGTGGGCTGAAGCAGAGAAATCCTGCACATCTTGGGGGGGATCCTCCTGCCAGAACCTCCATGGGGCCATTGCAGGGCTGGGATCTGCTTTGGTCCTGAGGAACCTGAGCTTGGAGCTGCAGCAGCCTCAGAGCCAACTTCTCCAAGGTAAAGAGTGCTCCCCTCTCCTTGGGGTCAGTGGGATCCGTGTCCCCAGCTCCTGTGGCAACTTCCACTGGCAAGGGGTCACGTTCCAAATGTTGCCCAGAGCAGCTGTGGCTGCCCCTGGATTCATGGAAATGTCCAAGGCCAGATTGGACACTGGGGCTTGGAGCACCCTGGGCTATGGAAGATGTCCCTGCCCATGGATGAGGTTTAAGGTCCCTCCCAACCCAAACCAGTTAGGGATTCTTCTCTAAAGATTCTTCCCTAAAGATTTTCTATAAAAGCCCTCGGCAGAGTTCCAGGTGATCTTGGATTGGAGCTGCTGCTGCTGCTGGGCAGGGCCAGGATCCCTGGGGGACAACCACTGCCAGGACAGAGCGAGTTTTGTTTGTACTGAGAGCTCAGGTTTGTGTGGTTTGTGTGCCCAAAATGTCCAGATCAGCAAAGAGCTCGAGTTCAAATAAAGTTTAAATTGTAATATCAGCATTGTTGTGTCATCGTTCTGCTGAGGATACTTAAAGAATCCTGTCCCTGTCCTACTGGGAGACAGATGCTCCTGGAAATTTGCCTATGAAATATTTCCCTCATGCCTGGCACGTGTCCCACAGCCCCTGGAGTCCCCAGCATGGGAGGGTGGGACAGTGCCAGAGCCGCCCGGGCGCGGTGCCGGACACGGAGCCCCAGGGGCTCAGATAATCCCAGGAAGGAAGAAAGCTCTGTGTGCTCCTTCCAGGGGCTGGGAACCCACCCTGGAGCTGCTGGCACAGCCTCTCCCTGCTCCTCCCGAGCCAGCTCTGCATGGGCAGCCGGGAAAAATGCACGGTGGCTTCCCAGGAATCCCAGCTCATGATCCCTGGGAGCACCAGAGCCTCTCCAAAGGGGGATCCCATGTGGAGGAGATNCCCCGCCCTGCCCCTGCCCTGCCTCCTCCTCCTCCTCCTCCCATGGCTGCACAGAGCACCCCGCACCTGGGTGGAGAGGACTCATCCCACTTGGAGAAGGCTCATCCCACCTGGACAGGACTGATCCCAGCCACAGAGTGCTGATCCCAACTACACAGGGCTCATCCCACCTGGACATGGTTTATCTCAGTCTGGACAGGGCTCATCCCATTTGGAGAGGGCTCAACCCAATCCAGACAGGGCTCATCCCAACTGGAAAGGTCTCATCCTACTGAGACAGGGCTCATCCCAAACCAGACAGGGCTGATCATATTTGGAGAGGGCTCAACCCAATCCTGACAGAGCTCACCACCTCCAGAGAGGGCTCATCCTACTGAGACAGGGCTGATCGCAACCTGGACAGAGCTGTTCCCATTTGGAGAGGGCTAATCCCAACCTGCACAGGGCTGTTCCCATTTGGAGAGGGCTGATCCCACCCTGGACAGGGCAGATCCCCCTCCTCCATCCCTCCATCCCTCCCAGCCCCGCTGCCCCACTCACGTCAGTGTTGCAGGAGCGGTAGCGTTTCCTCTCTCCCAGGCAGTACTTCCCTCCGATGGTGGGCCTGCCAAAGAGGAAGGAGGTTTGTGAGACTGTGACATGGACAGATGAGAAGACTCTCACATGGTTTGTGAGACTGTGACATAGACAAGAACTGATAAACCTCTGAGTCCCAACAAGAAATACCATCCCATGATTTAATCCCAACCCTGGCAAAAAGAAGTTACGACTCCTTATCCATCCAGCCTCTGCTCTAGCTCAGCCTTCCCAAGGCATCACAGGCACCTGGATGTGCCTCCCCACAGACACAAAGGGTTGGGGACACAGCAGGGCTGTGGTTACAGGGCCACCCCCACGTGTGGGTGCCATGGGACAGAGAGAGAGAAACGGTGAGCGTTTCTCACAGCGGCCTGGGAGAAGTTTTATGGAGCTGGAAAGATGTGGTAACTTGTTGACTATAAACAATTTGCAGGTGGTGTTTTTCTACTTTACTTTTCTGTTCCTCTCAAGTGTAGGAGTGTTGGGGGGTATGATGGTGGGGACAGACGGAGATGAGAGATCTCTGCAGCCAGGTCATGGAACTTGGGGTTTATTGCAAAGGGCCTGGGTGCAGGGCCCTGCTGGGAGCTGCAGCCACAGCTCAGAGCAGGCCTGAGAGAAGAGAGGGGGAGAGA